GGGGGGGGTGGGGGGTGGTGAGTGTGTGCAAGCATGTGCAATAGAGAGAGAGAGAGAGAAAGTCACCATAATGCATTCTGCAGAAAAAATGAGGTTTATCTAGAGACTAATAAAATAATAATTTTGGCAGTGGAGAAGTCCTTAGTGAGGTAGCTTAATGTTTGTACCTTTGTCACCCGTATGGTAAAGTCTCAAGTAGAATATCTAAAATAGTCATATCTAAAAGCCAGAAGAAGAAAAAAACCCTCTCCCTTAGTTCATACTGCATGGGCTGTCTGGCTGGAGGCCAAAGTCATGACAGCTTGCATTGTGGCAGGGAGAGCAGCGTGGCTCCCTGATCAAGGTCAGCAAATTTTTAATGAACGGAGCTTGATTACTGCTCCCTTTGTGGGAAAAGGTTGTTTGGAGGTGAACAAGGCTCTGTGTACAGAGGTATTCCACACGCGCCCTCCTTCACTCTCAAAACCAGACAAGCTAGAGCTGCCTCCAGTGCGGTTCCTCGCAGCTGGGGAATGCCTTCTAGAGAAGCAGGCACAGTAGCTCTACAAACTGAGGCTGGTGCATCCTTATCTCAGCGTACAGCACCCACAGTCAATAGTCACTGAGACCCTGTGAACAGTTTTACTGTACTGTTTCATCCCATCTCTTGCGTGGTAGTGTCCCTTGGCTATTATAAGGCTTGCCTTCGCAAGGTTTTGCATTCCCAGACCCAGGATTGCAGGGCTGCTGGGCATGTTCGACTGGTTTGGCATTCAAATCCAAGCCTTATCCTTCTAAATCATATATCAAGTTTTCTAGGACATCCCGTTGTTACAGAATGGATTTGGAGTAAAATCAGTCCCGCTGCAATCTCAAGGGCATTTTGTGATTTGGGATTAACAGGACCAGAATTTCAAATATAGGTTCTTTCTAGAGGAGGGATCGAAAATGAGTGAGAAAGCTGAGTTCTGGTTTAAGTGATTGTCATAAGAGCTACAGCCTTCCAGAAATGTCAAATTCCTGAGACTGACTGTGGGTCAGATCTTTCCATTAAGCTTCTTCTCTGGAAGCAGATCTGCCTGAAGATCAGACAACAGACACCAGAAAGCAATGCTTGTTTACATACTCAGAGTTTAAAATAAGAAATTTGCAAACATGTTTATTTTTAAAAAGGCTTTCTAAGAGTTCTTTGTGAAGAGGCAGCACCGTTTACTTTTACAAAGTAGTAAGCAGAACCTTTTCTCTGGTATTCATAGCCTATTTGGGAAGTACTTTCCAGCATCCATGGGCAAAGCTGTTTAAAAACAGTTCTCGACAAAAATAAAGTGGCAAAGCTATAAAGCATTTTTTATCTTGGCAGACCAACATAATTTTTTCCCAGTATTTCAGGAAGACTCTGACATTCCCAGAAGTTCATTAGCTTGACTGTTTTGGGGAGGGGTTTTCTTTTTGCCTTTAATCTTCTACTGATACTGAGAATGACTTTGTTTCTATCAATACAGGGCTATTTTTTATCACTCCCTGTTTAGATGTTAGCTCTCTTGTTGACCTTTTTAACTAGGTTTTACTTTGAAAAAAGGTAATGGATTTTGTTGTTTTAAAAAGAACAGCTTCGGTGTGGTTCCAGCCAGTGGGATTTATAATCTAATCCTTACAAGAGGAATCAGAGTTTTGATATTAAGAGCTGGAGCACTTCTTTGTCCATATGGAGCGTTGCTGTAAAATCAGGAAGCTCTAAATTCTTTTTTTTTTAACTCTATATTTTCTTATGTCAAAGAGTTAAAATATATTATTTTCCTGCTTGCTATTGACTAGCAAAGTATTTCCTCACCCTCTGCTGTAGAAAAGAATCATGCATATTTGACATCTTTCTCCTTTTCTCCTTAATATTTCAAATAATTCAGCTAGACTATCTCCATCAATTGGGTAAGCGGAGCTGTAGCACCTACTTAAGGGAGGGGAACCATCTGGTTTCCTTGCAACTTGGAGCCTGCTGGCAAATATTAGGTTGTACCAATTTAGAGCATGATGAAGTGGGAAATAATGGACATTCTTGAAGAATCTGAAATGGGATCAGCTGTTATCAGCAAAAATTGGCAGGTGCAGTGCACTATGCTGGCTGTAAGCATGGTCTCAAGTCAGAGAGTGCAGCTGGGAAAATGGCCTGCTAATTGAATGGTTGCAGGACTCCCAGCAGCTCTGACGGTAGTGGAGCATCATTAATTGGCGGCTCTTGGTTGACTTGGTGGAAGCTGTCACAGAATGGAAGGATCCTGCAAGTTGATGTTTACTGTCTAGGTGTTAGTGGGTTTATTGTCTGTTACTCAGAATGAGTCGTCATGGAAGTGCTCAGAAGTGCTTTCAAACTTAGGAGGACTGGCATAAGTCTGGCAATATCTATTTCTTATTTATATTTACAGCATGGTGACAGTGGTTGGGAGTCATAAAAGCTACTCAATTACACATTTGTTTAACTGCAACATTTCTATTGTTATCTTTCCCATCCCTCTCTTTTCCCCTTTTATTTTCACTTGTATTAGGTTTCTAAATTGGCTTGGCTTGGAGCAGCAACTGTTCTTTTTTTTTATTTAGAGCCTGAGAAGACCTTGTCCTTGACTGAGTTTCTTGGATGGTGCCATAATTCACACAGGGTTATAGAAACAAAAATAGCCTGGGTTTGGTCCAGAATAGTATTACATGCACCTCTGGTTTATGTGGGTCTCAGAATAGTAGTGTATGCAAAAGCACGTGTGCATTAGCCGTAGCTCCCTTTTTCATATGTTGTTTTTATTCATTAAATGCAAACATATTGCGGTGCAACCCAGTTTAATACAAAGGTCTGTTGGCAAAATGTGGCATTTTCCCTCAGCTGTTAGCACCCCTCAAGGGAAGATCTATTGGCAATGAGTGCTGTGCAGAAAGTGCTGCTGACTTCAGAGTGCACTTCATGTATCATCAGTGACTGTAGCACCCCTATGCGCCTAAAAACTCTCCAGCTATGCAAGGCATAGCTTCCCTGTATGAGTTATGGTGGCTAGGAGGTAAGAGGCTTCAGCAACAGGGTTGTCCCATGCAGCATGCCTTTGGCATTTATAGGCATGAGGTTATCTGTGAGTGTGGACTGAACGAGGAACGGTGAGCTGAAAACTGGCCTGAACGTCCTCATGGGGCTGTAGCCCCTGAGCCCCTGTCTCCATGGGCTGTAGGCCAACTTTTAAACCCTTCGGGACGACTGGTGAGACCAATTTTTCAAGTTGGACCCTGAGCAAGTCTTCCAGTGGCCATCATGCTCCTCCTCGGTTGAAGTGATACAGCTGGAAAAAATGCCTTCAGTTTGCGTCTGCGTTTGGATAACCTGTGTTGGGTGGGAGGCAGGGAGATAAAATTGGAAGGATTTGGAAGCTGTACCCCTGGATTGAAACCCTGTGTGGCAAATGTCAAGCATAGACCTACGATGAACCTGGGAACAGCGAGGTATTGATGGAGAGGCTCCTGTCTCCTTCCCCCAGCTCTGCCCCTGCTGTTTTCAGGAGCATCATTTTTTAAATGTCGTAGCTTGATGTGCACCGATTTGTGGTGCCTGGTTCTAGCCTAACTCTCCTGGATGCTTATTCTGCCTCTTTTGTTTTTCCTGGCATTAAGAAGTGGATGGAAATAACTCACCCAGCTTCAGAAAATTAAATAAATTGGGCATCTCCCTGGAGCTGGACAGTAACACTTGGCTTGGGGCAGGTTTTGGGAAACAAAATGTGCTAGTGTGCCTCCCGGGGACCTGCCTGGCCAACTGAGAGGTAGCGGACAGATGATGAAACCAGGCTGGTTTTGGAACCTGTCCCGAGCACGCCCTTTGCCAGGGCAGATCCTCCCTGCAGCAAGCCCTGCAGGTGTGCAGGCATGCACAGCACCCCAGACCCCGCTCCGACCCAGGGGGTGGTGTTACGGTTTAACCCGGCAGGCAGCTAACCACCACACAGCCCTTCGCTCACTGCCACCCCCCTGCCACAGTGGGATGGGGGAGAGAATCGGAAAAAAAAAGTAAAATTCATGGGTTGAGATAAAGACAGTTTAATGGGACAGAAAAGGAAAATAATAATAATAATAATAATAATGATAAAAGAATATGCAAAATAAGTGATGCACAATGCAATTGCTCACCACCCACCGACCGATGCCCAGCCAGTCCCCGAGCAGCGGTCACCACCACCCTCTGGCCACCTCCCCTCAATTTATATACTAAGCATGATGTCATATGGTATGGAATATCCCTTTAGCCAGTTTGGGTCAGCGTCCTGGCTG